AGGTCAAAGTTCTGTTCTTTGCTTCCAGGAAAAGCTGTCAGGGAGGTGCTGGAATGGCCCTGCTCAGTCAGAGAGTCTGCGTGTGAGGGTGGGGCTGTCTGAGACCCGCAGTCTGGAGCAGGCCTCATTTCTTTCCACCCTCCCCAACTCCGCAGCTACTCCTGGGCCTCTGCCAGCAGGCCAGACCACACACCACTAGGCCTCCCCAGACTGTGATATGGGCGGGGAGGTTCCCCGTGCACGAACGCCACCTGGGCTGGGCATATGGCCTCCTTTTGGGTGAGGGTTGCCCTCTAGGATGCTGATCTGCCCCTGAAGGCACACACACCTCAGTAGGCTGTTCACATATATCCCTTCTGTGCCCCGGGCAATGTGAGCCCTCATGACACGGGATCTGGACTGCAGGTCTGACTTCTGGGTCCCAGAGTTCAAACTATATCCCCACCTGGGAGAGGAGTGCCAGTCCCAGTTTGCCCACAGGGATCCCAAGCTGGGTCTATGTCTCTCAGCCTCTGAGTCTGCACCGTTCTCCTGGGATCTCTGTGCCAGTAGCACCAGGGAGGGCTGGCGGGTAGGGAGCCCACAGTCTGAGTTCCCCTTAGTCAGCTGTAGGGTCCCAAAACGGAAGGTCCCATTCCCTGGAGGTGCCTCCAGCTGGTGGCTGTATTTTCTCTCTGGGCAGCTGGGGGTAGGGTCGGGGCAGGGGAGAAGGAGGCAATATGGCACCTGCCGCATGGCTCAGGTCTATGCACACGGAGGTGCCAGGAGGGATTTGGGAGCCTGGTGCCGTGTCCGCTACAGGCTTACCACTCGCTGGTGGTGGCCATCTCTGGGCTTGTGTCCGTAGGTCTCTCCACCTGCTTCAGCACCCACCAGCAGTCCCAGATGCAGGGGAGGGTAAAGGTGCATGATCCACCTACCCTTCCCACTGGTCTCCTGGCTGCTCCGGCGGTCTCAGTTTCCAGTTCTCCTCCGCAACCTCCTCCCGTGGAGTCTCCTGTGGTCTCAGGTACCCCTCCTTCCGGCCCTCGTCCGCTATATGCTC